ATCAAGGTTGTTGTGCAAAAACGTTTTAAACTCAAGTACTATAGATATTGGCTTTGATTGTCTGTCCGTGAAATTGTATTGCTACTCTTATAGGCTATAGCATAGTTCGCATGCTACAAGTCATTGTATGGCGTTCGAGGTGAAAACAAACAAATAAATAAATCAAAACAACGCTCCATAACATTTTTTACTAAAAAACGTTTTTATCGTTTTTATTACTTTTTCAGTTTAAAACGAACAAAGAGGAATAAAGTTTATGAACACCAAATAGGTAGTTGAAAAATATTTCACTTTTGAAAATACGATGCAGGTATACAGTGTGAATTAATCGTCGTGTTATTTATTGTCTTGCCATGCCGTGAAACTACGGGCACAAGTCCTACCTATACCTACTATAAAATAATGTGTAATATGTGTATACAAAATTTGAACGATTTGATAAGATAATAATAAAAATCCACAGGTCAGCGGTAATGAAAAATATCTGTTTAAAAATAAATGTTGGAATTGCTATAATATAGTCGCGCAAGTCGCATGTGATTTAAATTTTAAATTCGATTCATAAAAAATGAAACATAAAAATCACGCTAATATAATATACGAAGCGTGTACAAGGTTTACACGTTTTATTGCATAATGTTGTTTACGAACAGTGTAAATATTTTAGTTTGAATTATTAATTTGTGTTTATGAAAATTGAAACGAAATATTTTGTGCGATGCGGGTATTTTAAAATGGATTTTTGCTCCACTCGATAGAAATTATTTACAATCTAATTATAATGTGATTTAATTTTCAAATTATAAATTAAACCTGTGGTAGGTACCTAGTGCGTCTATATGTATTAAGTAAGCTAATCTCTTTAAGTATTTCGTTATGCACCCCAAAATACATGTTTGATGGAGTATCGCTTTTAATATTAACACAAGTAAAAACGTTTATTATTTAAGCCCAACAACAGGCAAATAATTTATTGTTCTTATGTGCTTACTGGGGGACATTTAATACGGAGATGAATTCGTCATTTTTATCCTATATATACACTATGAACAGTGATCTGATAAAATATAAAGTATCTCACTGTTAAAATCGCTTGACAATTGACATATTATATAGTTTGTAATACGAAAAATATAGGTAGTATAGTAATATAATATTTTAATCGCATGATATATTATATCTATATTTTCTTTAGGATATTTTTTAATATAATTATATGTATATTGTGTAGAAAGTGCAAAAATAATACGGAGGCATTTCGAATATTATAATAATGTAGAAAATGGTAAAAAAATAACCGATCGTTTTAAATGATGCGTATACGCTGTAAGAATATATATATATTATTACAGAGAAGCTTCTACGGCACCACTAAACACAAATCACTGGAGGTCACTTGAATATTATTATGGACGAATGTTAGAACGGTGCCTTATGCTCTTACATATATTATACACAGAGTGTGAATCAAGCATGATAACTGCAATTTTTTTTTCTATTTAAGGAGTCTGGTGGTGATCCAAACATGTTTTAAAAAAACCTAAAATCTCCTCTTGGCTGTTAATATTGTTAAGCAGATAAATTTGTTTAAAAATTGTTGATGTATTTTAATCAATATTCGAATCAGCACTTTCTTAGTTAGTAAAATTAATATTAAGTACTAAGGATAATAGTCCTTAAAATAACTTACTGTTTTTACAAAATTAGATATAGATATAGTATTGAATAATGTAATACACGTAAAGTAGGTAGGTACTCGATTATTTTTTACAAATTATAAAATATCGATGGATTAATATCAATAAATAAAATGTTCAAGTCGTCTCATAGCCTACAAACCTTCCAAACTCATTATCATGGAAATATTATTCTTTGTATACAAAGTTAAATATCTCAAAAACTACAAGTTTGAATTTCGATTTAGATACATCAATATTTTCAAAAAGTCATCTAATTAATAATCAACAGTAAAAACTAAAAATAGTGGTTTTTATTTGGAAACAAAAAAGCTGGTAAGCCACTTGGTACACCTTTAATGGTAAAAATATTCTAAATATTTAGAAATTTGAATCTGAATAAATTCATTACTAAAGGGAAAATTGGCAGTGAGCATGCTTGGAGAATCACTCTGTATATTGTTATTATAATGTATAAGTTCAGTCGTTCGATAATGTCATGTGCAATAACATGTCACGCAACACCATACTTGAAATTACTTTGCAATATGCTATTATTTAATTGGCATTATAAACTTTAAATCTCAAGTTAGTGCATCTTGTAAATGTATTTGTTGGCACTAATGTATTATTTCGTTTTAACGGTTTCGTAATTATTATGATTCACTCGATACGCAAGATCTACGAATCATATCTCATTAGATTAACAAAATAACTTCCACGTTTTCTTATCGAGATTCAAAACATTTGATAATAATATTATTATCACATCGAATTTTCTGAAAGCTATTTTAGTCAAAGCTATATTATTATATGACCAACGATATGCTATAATTCTATAATATACTTACTTTATAGATAATAATATTATATATTATGCAATAGATAATAAAGTTGGTGTTATATAACATGTATATTGTATATTATAACCTAGAACAATAGTCCGATTGCCAAGTTTTTTTTACCAATATTTAGGACAAACCAAACATTTTTTTTCCATAAACATCAAAAACTCATCGAAATGAATTAAAAATAATGTACTTTTTTTGCTTACATATAGTGACATCTAAATATTACAACATAATATTTCACATAATTTTTAATTGAAATCGGTTCCCAAGTTGGAACATTATAATATGATGTTTAAATTTATTTATTTAATATTATTATGATACCGTCCGAAAAGTTTTTTTTTTTTGAAATGAGAACATCATATTTTCATTTGTTTTATGATTGTAAAACCAATTATAATGGTTACATCTTTTTCGTCAGAATTTATAAATGTTTTAAAAGTAGACGTTTTTAATAATTGAATTACACAAATTGACTAGATGGGTTACTGTCATTAAATGTTGCGTTAGTAGTTTCGTACCTAATGGCTGTTTTAGACGGTTTAGAAGTTTAGGGCAGAGCATTATGTTAAAACAATTAGAATAAGCAACGGCAATAAGAAAGTTTACAATGAATTTCTAGAATAGGTTGGTTAGGTGGAAACTTTGTGTGGTACAATTATTGGTTTTTCTTTGGTCCATTAAGGTTCGTGTTATAACTTTGAAGCCAAATAGAAGTACATTTACTGGGATTAATAAACACAAATGTTTTACATAAAATTCTACTAAGAATTTAAGCGTTCTAATACAATTACTGGTGTTAATACCAAGTAGAAAGGAATAGCATAGGAAACAAAAAAAAAATCACTGTTATTTAATTTACCACTTTATTTAAGTTGAAACGCAATTAACTGCAGATCATTAATATTCATGCAATTTAAATAATGTAAATTTATAAAATATTTTGTTGTTTTATCATTAAAACAAGAACCCCGAATATTATACAAACACAAATGGGAAATAGTATAAAGCCGAGGTGCATTTCAAGGTTAAATCTAAATAATTAGGAGCTACCTACCTCTAACAAATATTCAATCTCTTTATTTTGTTTTATAGTTGGCAAAAATGTTGTACAAAAAAAAACGTATGATTAAAATTAACTAGCCGCTTAAGTTAGTAAAGATTGTGCATTTCTGGTTGAAAATCGATAAATTTCGGTAAATATATATTCTTTAAAATATATTTTGTCAATACTGCCTACACTACCCACTAAAGGATTAATATGATGTATAAATTATGATAACATTTAAAAAAAATTGGTTATGAAATAAATCTTTTTAGTAAAAGTAATTATATTTTACTATTAAAAATTTAATTATCGTCCTTGCTTCATTTTATTCGGCTTTATTTTTATTAAATCTAAAAATTTAGTTGTGAGAGAAGAAAAATAAGAATAAGAATTCTAAAATATTTCTTCAATTATTATATTTAGTCATATATACCTAGATATCGACGAGTTCAATGGAGACGTATATTTATTAAAATTGATGAACTTTATGTTATACTATGGCCTTGATAAATTTTAACCATCGCATATAGTTATTTTTCCCAACACCGATGAACAAAATTCAGGGGCCACGCAATGAATGTATCGGCACAATATTTACAGCTTTCATACTCAGGGGCCGCCAAGTGCGGAAAATACTTGATTTCATGTCGTCAGATATGTCATATGTGTGGTACCTATATCCAGTGAGTAGGTTTCATTTATTTATTAAACTACTTCCAAAGATAATGATAATAATAATATGATAGCAAATGCATAAGCGAATAATGCAAGAACGATGATAAGAATAATATTTTCTTCCGACATCCGGTGTACCTAATAGTGCAGGAATCATGTGATTATTATAGCCGAATGTTATCTGTTCGAATAGAAGTTTTGAATTTTTAAGACCGGTGTCCGGTACCTCTGCGCTAGTAATAGATGTACCACTGTACTACCAGCGGTAAATGCCGTGTGTACCACACTTCCTCCACGTAGGAAAAACGCGAGCTATGAATTTTTCAACCACAGAAAACGAGCATTGTTATAATACCATACCATTTGCCCATAAAAAATGTAAGTACAGTTATAATTAACTATTATAAGGTGCACAACACGTCCGTTTCCCGATCCGTATGAAAATAAAACAATGGTACACGCGATCCTCGAGAACAATATACGTTCATTTATAAAAGTCCGTAACGTTTTGTTTCGACCCAACAACAAACGAAGCCCACCGACGGGCAGATAAGGTGTAAATAGTAATTTACAAGCGATACAGGTAAATGGGCGCAGCTTTGAGGGTCAGGCACACGCGGTTCAACCGTGGTTATACCTACCTGTATCACGTTAAAGGTTAACATGGTATAATAATAATAATATGTATCGGGAGGGAGAAGGGACGTATTATATCGGACCTACATAATACTATAATATACGAGTACGCACCTTGTCTTTTGTTTTCTTCTTGGACGATCGTTTTTTCGGAGATCTAATGCTGGACTTGAAGTTACCCTTTCGTGGCAACTTGACGATCCACGACGGCGGCACAATTATATTACTATGTTTACCTAAAACAAATACACACACAAAGCGGTTAACAAAAAGGTAAACTCCGGTATAATAATCATCGCGTGGTAGGTAGGCAGGTATACAATAAATATAATATTATGTTTCCTGAAAAATCTCCAAAGGTCAGCCATTTCCGCAGTTCGTTTTACAACCGTCGACATAACAATAAAATATAATATACAAACAATATCGTTTTTCCCTGTGTACATTTCGTGTTTTGTATTTCTCGACGTCCGTGGTTTAAAGGTGTGGAGAGGGGGGAGGGGAAAACTTGAAAAGTAATGATTATTAACCAGTGATCCGATTTTTTAGCACTAACAAGTGACGAGGCCTTAGGTAGCATGGGCAAAAATTCATACAAGCGATATTATAATAATGACCTAAAAATCTTGAAATATGCACTAAAATATATTTAAAAAAAAAGAGTTTAAGTTTTTTTTTATTATAATATTAATAATTCATAAACTTACAACAAAACTAAAATTAATTCATACAACTTTTGTTCTACTTATTTCATTGAAATACCTATTATAAGATTTATGAAAAAAATACAAATGAAATTAGTTTGATTCAACTCTTGTTTGTCAAAAAAAATAGCACCACACCCCGGAGAGTTACACTAAAAATCTAAAACTCTTAAAATATGCAAACATAGGTATGTAGTGTAAAATGTTATATGTGATACCCTTGACGCACAATACAAATGCATAGTTTCCTTTGTAATTTTTATCTGTATATTCTAAAGTAATAAATTAGAAAAGGCTATTGAATTCGAGTCATGGTTTGAACTCCGGTTAATATGATATTGTTTCCAATCAAAGCGTGAGTTTCCTAGTAAACTATTTCAATAGGAGGTTACGAACGGACGTCACATCTTGTGTTTGGAAACAATTAAGTGGCGTTTAAAAGAGCCGTTAAGTTTACTTATCTGTCTTTGCCAAGTTTTAGAGTGCTCTTTTCGTTTTATCCTTATTTATTTCTGACCTAATTCAGAAACACGTTAAAACCTTAAACCACTATATTTATATATACCTCAGTACTATTATTTTACAGTTTAATCTCTTACATTTTTTGAGGGTTTATCCGGTTTGTATACACCATATAATATTATAGTGTCATTTGTCTAGAGATATTTTCCCTATAATTGGCTACAGGAAGAAGTTTGGGCGAATGTGTTGAAATAGCGTCCTGCAGCTGGCTCGGTGGACCAATTATGAAAACAAACAAACTCGTTTTCCCCCGTCCCACCTCATTTTTGAATTTACGGACCTAAGTCAAACGATCACAGTGTCATTAGTCTGAAGCTATATAGAGCGTTCACGTTTTAAAGGTTGTATTTTTAGACTTATCATAATTTCACCATGACGGAATGACACATACTTAAATGATTGCAATTATTTCAATAACCAATCGGTGTATGGCATTATGATTTATAATAGCTATCATTGTATATACGCATTATTGGATATCCCTGAGTCTCGAGTTTTTATTCCAACTATGGACGAATAGAATAATAACTTACTGATAATGTCGATCTAAAATTAAAAAAAAAACCTATAGTATAAACCGACGATAGATTGATGTGTGTCTATATGATTTTATGTATACGTTTTACATCTAAATTATTTTTAAAAAATCTATCTGTAACCTATAATAGATTTATTTTTAAAATTATATTATCTTGTGTTTGAATATCATTATGTTATTCACTCCATACTCGATTTGCATGATACAAGTGGTTGGTTTTTTGATACAAGTTAGTTGTGCTAAGTTAACAACAACTACCGAACTATATCCCAAGTAGCGCACACCAAAATGTAAATAATGTAAAAATGTAGGCTCTTGATTTAATAACGATGAGGTGTTATTACCAGTGGGCAATAGCAGCTATCCTCGTCGTGTCGTTTATGCCATGTGTTAACCCTAATTTGAATTATACAATTTACTTTATATTATTTTGTTGCGTGCAGATTGTAAATTGCCTTTTCTTTATTTTTTTAAAAAAAAGGTAGCCGTGTGTAAGAAATACGTGTGTCTTATTCGTAAGAGGTTCTTGATAGTTTCATCTTTCGTTTTTAGGCATCAGCATGGGTCGTATAATAATGGTTATATGTATCGTATTTTTTTTTTATATAGCATTATAGTCCAGTCAAGGAATGAGGTGTAGAGTGCGTGAGCAGGTAACTTAGCGATTCCTTCAGAAACTTGTTCGGGGGGCTTAGGGTATTAACATACTAAAAGTCCTGACACCTAGGTGGTGAGCCGGAGGGGGGGAGGGGGGTTAAAGTTTCGCTTTTTGGGTTTTCGCTTATATCTCGTAAACGGTGCATCGGAGGAAAATTTTTTTAAATAACAAAATAAAGCTCATGAAATTATCTAAAACTTTTATATCAGATGTTTTTTTCGAATTCACAACCGTTTTCGAGCTACACCTTCGAAAAAAGTAGAATATTACAAAAAAAACCATTTACCTCCCTATATTCATAAAACAATCCATCATATTGTCTAAACCTATTCATAAACTAAAAATATGCATAGAAAAGAAGTTGTAGATATTTAAATTCACTTTCAGAATATATACACATATATTAATTGTTAATCTCCAAGCTGCCTAAATTTATAGCTATTTTACAACTTTCATAACATTTTGCAATTTTCAGAAAATGTACCTATAGGTATATCATATTCTTGACCCACAACCTTTGTTCGTTTATGTAATAATATATGTGGCCACACTTTTAAGAAGTAAAACAGACAAAAATAATGATAATACACACTTTATTTTACAGATAAGTAGTTCTCAAGTAATTCTTAATTTTACATGCAATCATATTTTCATTTTCTTTGAATTTGAGGGCCCAGGTTGTTCATCCATTGCATCTTTGTCTGTAGTAATGGGTGCCTCTTGCTCTTCATTTACCTTGGCAGTGGAGGCACGCTGCAGAACAAGTCAGCATTGCTTTCCGGCAGCCACTTTTTCCAATCATACAATATCATATCACGGAGCAGGTTTTAGGCATAAATGAAGTCCGATAATGTTAGTCAATAATTAGTTATCTATACATATAAAATCCAAATACCACTGACTCACTGATCGCTGTATCTCAAAAACTACTCAACGTACGGACTTGAAATTTGGAATAGAGGTTCTTCTCATATTTTCACCGTGCAATAAGAAAGGATTTGCGAAAATTCGCATTTTAAATAGGTGCTCAAACAGGGACATTGAGATTCACGATGGAAATTGGAAATTTTATTTTTATTTATTAATAGTTGCCATTGGTATTACAGTCTACAGTAGAAATTAGCATTTATTTATTGGTTGCCATTGGTTATTCGGCAGATCAGGTACAAGCTTGCATCAAATCGAAATATTGAACATTGCCTACCAAGGTGGCTGAGTTGCACTTACCGCAGCAAGTTACACCCAAAAGGAGTTCAACAATCATAATTTTTTTAAGAGTTGCGATTTTTTACGAGCAACCAAATTTGTTTATATTAATCCACCGTATTATATCAAAATAAACTTGGTATAACTTTGATATTTTAGAGTTAAATCATACACTTCCGTATAAACAGCACGGGGTCCGCGATCTACCTGATAATGTACTGCTGCGATTCAGAATTTTTATTAAGGGCAACGGAAAAGATAAGATAAATTTTGAACACCATACACCGAATATTGAATAACGAATTGAACAAAGTTTGAGTCATATTGAGTTGATACATTTATCGGGAGACGAAGTACACGGGGATCAGCTAGTAATATTATATAGACATACGGGTAACGGAATGACAAGTTGAACACTCGAACATTTCCAAATATTTACTATTATATATTTATATCTATATTTATTACTAGCCAACAATATTATAGTCTATCATTAAGTTTATAATCGCTATTAATATTTTTAGAAGTTGGATGGAAATTATGATTTTATGAACAAATGGTGATGTAGTTTAAATTTATATAAGTAATAAGTAGAATATGTAATATAATATGTTGTATAACATTTTTATTGCAAGAATAAATTGAAAAAAAAATTAAAAACTCAATTTATGCATATATTAATTTTTTAATAAACACAAATGCCCTAATCTAGATGTTTTTTGAGGGAGGGTCATCCAAGGAAAGGGGTGGCAGAGTAAAAAATGAAAAAAACGAATATGGTAGATAATAATATGATGGATTGTTTTATGAATATAGTGAGGTAAAATGGTTTTTTTTTGTAATATTCTACTTTTTCGAAGGTGTAGCTCGAAAACGGTTGTGAATTCGAAAAAAACATATGATATAAAAGTTTTAAATAATTTCATGAGCTTTATTTTGTTATTTAAAAAAATTTTCCTCCGATGCACCGTTTACGAGATATAAGCGAAAAACCCAAAAAGCGCAACTTTAACCCCCCTCCCCCCTCCGGCTCACCACCTAGGTGTCAGGACTTTTAGTATGTTAATACCCTAAGCCCCCCGAACAAGTTTCTGAAGGAATCGCTAAGTTACCTGCTCACGCACTCTACACCTCATTTTGGGTCATTCATTGACTGGACTATTAGGTTTGGGTCGGTGTTTTTGGTTTTTCAGTTTTTGCCATTTGAAGTTGAGTACATAAATTGTAAATATTATTTTTTTGTCTGCGTACGTGTTTTGTGTTTATATGTTCCAGATTGGAGTATTCGTAGAGAAGACGACATTAGACTGCTTTTCTTTTCTCTTTATACGCCACTGTGGCACAGATACTCATGCAGGTTTTAGGTTTTAAAAACAAAACGTCTATATTATATTCCTTTGTCACAAAGTTTGTATGTTTTTTTATTTAATGATTTTTGATATTTTGTTGGAAAGGGTTTTGTTGTGTTTTGGATGCCTGCAATATAAAATGCGTATTCACTATTATGCTTCAAACAATGTTCAACGTAGGACGTGGATCCATATCATACGATGGGTATGAAAAGTGCTATTAAACTATTTTACGTTATTAAATTCATTGATTATAAAT